CCCCCCCCCCCCCCCCCCCCCCCACCCCCCCCCCCCCCCCCCCCCCCCCCCCCCCCCCCCCCCCCCCCCCCCCCCCCCCCCCCAAACCCCCCCCCCCCCCCCCCCCCCCCCCCCCCCCCCGGGGTCCCAGGTATCTCCACCAATCTCATCCCCCCCCCCGGGGTCCCAGGTATCTCCACCAATCTCACCCCCCAATCCCCCTCCAAAATCTCACCCCCCCAATCCGGGGTCCCAGGTATCTCCACCAATCTCATCCCCCCAATCCGGGGTCCCAGGTATCTCCACCAATCTCACCCCCCCAATCCGGGGTCCCAGGTATCCACCAATCTCACCCCCCCAATCCGGGGTCCCAGGTATCTCCAATCTCAACCCCCCACCAATCTCCACAAAATCACCCCCCAATCCGGGGTAAACTCTCCATCCTGACCTGCTGTGATATTGTTTTTAGGAATTGTAACAGTAAAAAGTGATTTCACTACGTGGCGCCCCTTCTGTCTCCCTCTTTGGTCTCCATACTGTGAGAGGCTTGTGGAGGCACAGCGGAGGTTTGTGACGCCGCCATCTCTGTACACACGACACCCGCCCTGCGCTGGGCACCCTGTGAGTGTAACACGATTCATCTGCGCGCACATTAATATTCTGTATATTTGAACTTATAACCCCTCCCCCTCACAGAACACCCCCCCTACAAGGCAGCAAACGCCAATCACGCAGGGCTCACATACAGAGCCAACGTCAACAAAGAAACACGTGATCCAGCTGACTTCCTATCTGTGCTCCGCCCACTTTCTGTAACAACATGGAGAGCCTGAAATCGCGGACCTGCGTGTATTCTCCGCCCAACTTCTCGTTCCCCGCCCACTTTCTGTGAGCACAGATCTTGGTGTATGGTCCGCCCACTGTCCGTTCTCACGCCCCCTCAGACGTCATATCCGGTGTGTCCGGTGGACAGGAATTAGCCGGGATCGTTGTATTCTCTAATCATGGAAGAGTCTCTTTTTCCGGTCTACGTCTACAGCCGGGGATATGCGACTCTATGCGACAGTCTGCAGAGCAAAGTGCCGAGACGGGTAAATGGGAGGGCGAAGGGCGGTCAGTACAGGAAATGGGGGATGAAAGGGGGGGACAGTACAGGAAATTGGGGAGATGAAGGGGGGGCAATATAGGAAATGGGGAGATGAAGGGGGGGACGGTACAGGAAATGGGGGAGATGATGAAGGGGGGGTGACAGTACAGGAAATGGGGGAGATGATGAAGGGGGGGGACAGTACAGGAAATGGGGGGATGATACAGGGGGACAGTACAGGAAATGGGGGAATGATGAAGGGGGGGTACAGTACAGGAAATGGGGGAATGATGAAGGGGGGACAGGGGGGGAATGATGAAGGGGGGACAGTACAGGAAATGGTGGGGGAATGGATGAATGATGAAGGGGGGGGACAGTACAGGAAATGGGGGAATGATGAAGGGGGGGACAGTACAGGAAATGGGGGGGACATGGGGGGGGGGACAGTACAGGAAATGGGGAATGATGAAGGGGGGGGACAGTACAGGAAATGGGGGATGAAGGGGGGGGGGACAGTGAAATGGGGGGAAGGGGGGGACAGTACAGGAAAGGGAAATGGGATGAAGGAGGGGGGGGGGGGACAGTTCATGACAAAATGAATGGGGGGGGGGACAGTACAGGAAATGATGGGGAATGATGAAGGGGGGGGGGACAGTACAGGAAATGGGGGAGATGATGAAGGGGGGGGGACAGTACAGGAAATGAAGGGGGGGGGACAGTACAGGAAATGGGGAATGATGAAGGGGGGGGGACAGTACAGGAAATGGGGGAGATGAGAAGGGGGGGGGGGGGGACAGTACAGGAAATGGGGGATGATGAAGGGGGATATGGGGGAGGAAGGGGGGGGGACAGTACAGTAAAGGGGGAAATGGGGGGGGGACAGTACAGAAATGAGATGGGGGGGGACAGTACAGTACAGGAAATGGGGGAGTACAGGAAGGGGGGGGGACACAGGAAATGGAATGATGAAGGGGAGGGACAGTGATGGGGGAGGGGGGGGGGGACAGTACAGGAAATGGGGGAGATGATGAAAGGGGGGGGGGGGGGGGACAGTACAGGAAATGGGGGAGATGAAAGGGGGGGGGGGGACAGTACAGGAAATGGGGGAGATGATGGGGGGGGGGGGACAGTACAGGAAATGGGGGAGATGATGAAGGGGGGGGGGGGTACAGGAAATGGGGGAGATGATGGGGGGGGACAGTACAGGAAATGGTAGGGGAAGGGGGGGGGGACAGTACAGGAAATGGGGGAGATGATGAAGGGGGGGGGGGGGACAGTACAGGAAATGGGGGAGATGATGAGGGGGGGGGGGACAGTACAGGAAATGGGGGAGATGATGAAGGGGGGGGGGGGACAGTACAGGAAATGGTAGAGATGATGAAAGGGGGGGGGGGGCAGTACAGGAAATGGTAGAGATGATGAAAGGGGGGGGGGGGGGGGGCAGTACAGGAAATGGTAGAGATGATGAAAGGGGGGGGGGGGGGGGTACCGGGCAGTACAGGAAATGGTAGAGATGATGAAAGGGGGGGGGGGACAGTACAGGAAATGGTAGAGATGATGAAGGGGGGGGGGGACAGTACAGGAAATGGTAGAGATGATGAAAGGGGGGGGGGGGACAGTACAGGAAATGGGGGAGATGATGAAGGGGAGGGGGGACAGTACAGGAAATGGGGGAGATGATGAAGGGGGGGGGACAGTACAGGAAATGGGGGAGATGATGAAGGGGGTGGGGCAGTACAGGAAATGGGGGAGATGATGAAGGGGGGGGGACAGTACAGGAAATGGGGGAGATGATGAAGGGGGGGGGACAGTACAGGAAATGGGGGAGATGATGAAGGGGGGGGGGGGGACAGTACAGGAAATGGGGGAGATGATGAAGGCGGGGGGGGGACAGTACAGGAAATGGGGGATGAAGGGGGGGAGAGTACAAAAATGGGATTAGGGGAGGCAGTACAGGAAATAAGGGGACAAGGTGGTGGGACAGTATAGGAAATGGTGGGATGAGGGGGGTGGCAGTACATTAGATTGGTGGGGCAAAGGGTTGATCAGGGGGACGAGGGGGTTTTCACTACAGGAGATTGGTGAGGCAAAGGGTTTGGGCAGGGGGACGAGGGGGGTGCAGTACAGGAAATTGGGGATGGAGGGGGATGCAGTACAGGAAATTGGGGATGGAGGGGGATGCAGTACAGGAAATTGGGGATGGAGGGGGATGCAGTACAGGAAATATGGAGGGGGATGCAGTACATGAAATTGGGGATGGAGGGGGGTGCAGTACAGGAAATTGGGGATGGAGGGGGGTGCAGTACAGGAAATTGGAGATGGAGGGGGGACAGTACAGGGAATAAAGTTGATGAAGGGGGGACAGTACAGGAAATGGGGGAATAAAGGAAGGGGGGACAGTACAGGAAATGGGGGAATAAAGGAAGGGGGGACAGTACAGGAAATGGGGGAATAAAGGGGGGGGGGGGGGCAGTACAGGAAATGGAGGAATAAAGGGGGGGACAGTACAGGAAATGGGGTGTGAAGGGTGGGGACAGTACAGGAAATTTCATAACTGCCCCCCCCTCGTCCCCCCATTTCCTATACTGTTCTCCCCTCGTCCTATTTCCTGTACTGTCTCCCCCATTTTTCCCATTTCCTGTACTGTCCCCCCCTTATCCCCTTTCCTGTGCCCCCCCACCCACCCCTTCATCCCCCCATTTCCTGTACTGCTCAACCCCTCGTCCCCCCATTTCCTGTACTGCGCACATCTTTGCCCCCCATCTCCTGTACAGTACAGGAAATTGGGGGATGAGGGGAAACCAGTACGGAAATGGGACGGGGGGATAGTATAGGAAATAAAGGGAAGAGGTGGTGGGCAGTACAGGAAATAGGGGGACAAGGAGGGTACAGTACAAGAAATGGGGGGATGAGGTGGTGGGCAGTACAGGAAATAGGGGGACGAGGGGGGGGGGGGGGGGGGGAAGTATAATACAGGAAATGGGGGACAAGAGCAGGGCAGTATATGAAATGAGGGGACGAGGGGGGGGGGGGGGGAGGGAGTATAATACAGGAAATGGGGGACAAGAGCAGGGCAGTATATGAAATGAGGGGACGAGGGAGGAAATGAGACAGGAGGACAATACAGGAAAATAGGGGGATGAGGGGGTGTGAGCACAGGAAATGGGGGGGACAAGAGGAAATGAGAGGGTGTCAGTACAGAAATGGAGGGGTGCGAGGACGTGGGCACTACAGAAATGGGAGGGGGGACAGTACAGGAAATGGGGGATGGGGGGAGTATAGGAAATGAGGGGGTGTCAGCAAAGCAAATGGGGGGACAGTACAGGAAATGAGAGGATGGGTCCAGTACAGGAAATGGAGGATGGGCAGTACAGGAGATGGGGGGGGGGGGGGGGGGGGTGCGAGGATGTGGGCACTACAGGAAATGGGGGGGGGGGACAGTATGGGGGGATGGGGGGAGTACAGGAAATGAGGGGGGTGTGTGTCAGCAAAGCAAATGGGGGGGACAGTACAGGAAATGAGAGGATGTCCGTACAGGAAATGAGAGGATGGGCAGTACAGGAGATGGGGGGGGGGGGGGGTGCGAGGATGTGGGCACTACAGGAATGGGGGGGGGGGACAGTATGGGGGATGGGGGGTTAGTACAGGAAATGGGACGAGGTGGTGGGCAGTACAGGAAATGGGGGGGATGAGGGGGAAGTATAATATAGGAAATGGGGGACGAGTATAGGACATGATGGGACCAGGGGGGACAGTACAGGAAATGGGGGGATGAGGAGGTGGGCAGTACAGGCGATGGGTGGGCGCTAGGATGCGGGGGCACTACAGGAAATGGTGGGGGAAGAAGGGGGGTGGTAACAGTATAGGAAATGGGGGGGACAGTACAGGAAGTGAGGGGAGGGCAGTATAGGAAATGGGGGATGAGGGTGGGACAGTACAGGAAATGGGATGAAGAGGTTGTGGGCAGTACAGGAAATGAGGGGACAGTACAGAAATTGGGGGGATGAGGTGTTGGGCAGTACAGGAATTGGGGGAGGAGGGGGAAGTATAATACAGGAAATGGGGGACGAGGGCGGGGCATTATAGGAAATGAGGGGACATTATTGTATAATAATGCCTCTTGTGTGTTCCAGGCTAGTATGGTGCACTCCCTGATAGAAGCTTATGGACCTCAGTCACATGAGGTGAGTTGGCGGAGGGACTCCACTGAACGCCTCGCCCTCCTGAGGATTCCCCCCCCCCCCCACCCTTCCTGGCCAGGCGATTTGTTGCGTTACGGCGCTGCGTCACTTTAACTGACAATTGCGCGGTCATTCCAACGCTGCACCCAAATGAAATTTATGTCCTTTTTCTCCCACGAATAGAGCTCTCTTTCGGTGGTGTTTGATCACATATGCGTTGGGGGGGGGGGGGGTGACTGACTTGGTGTCACTGACATCCCCAGTAACACCGATACAGTGATCAGTGCTAATAAAAAAGCACTGACACTGTACTAATGGCACTGGGCAGGAAGGGGTTAACATCTGGGGCGGGCAGCACAGTGGCTAAATGGTTAGCACTTCTGCCTGGCAGTACTCAGGTCGTTGGTTCGAATCCCAACCACAGCACCATCTGCCTAGAGTTTGCATGTTCTCCCTGTGCCTGCGTGGGTTTCCTCCGGGAACTCCGGTTTCCTCCCACTAGCAAAAGACATGTGGTAGGTTAATTGGATCCTGTCTAAATTGGCCCATGTATATGAATGTGAGTTAGAGACCTTAGATTGTACGCCCCTTGAGGGTTAGGGACTGATGTGAATGTACAATATATATGTAAAGCGCTGCATAAATTGACGGCGCTATATAAGTACCTGAAATAAAAAAAATCAAAGGGTTAACTGTATGCCCTTTACAACTGTGTGCTGTTTGTGCTTCACTCTACGCACACTGCTTTGCATGGCTCTTTGCATGCAAAGCAGTGTGCAGGAGCTGACAGTGGAGAGAACTGTTTTGTTTACAAACAGTTCTCCCCCAGGCCCCCCACCCTGTCAGAGATGCTCGGCAATCACGTGGCGTTGGTGAATTATCACCGTGCCGAGACCCAGTGATTGACAGCTGAGCAGGGGAGGACTGACAGCTCATGGGGCCCCTGGGCAGTAGGGGATCATGGATCCCCTGTGTCCTCGCCCACACTCAAAAAAGCCAATGAAAGGTACCAGGGGCATCTCATGGGGCCCCCTACTGACTCCGGGCCCTCGGGCAGTGCCCGAGTGCTCAAATGGTCAGTCCTCCCCTGCAGCTGAGGCCACGAATGGCGGCGCAGTCAGGGCGCACACCCCCTACCTGGAAATGTAGAATCACATATATGTGTGTGTGTGTGATTTTGCGCACCCATGCCGCCCTGTAGCAGTATTTCTGCTAGGGGGCGCTCTAAAGCGGGTACAGCAGAAGTAAAGTTGCAGGTCTCTTCTGCAAAAATACACTTCACCTGCCTCTTCACAATCCCTGTAGAATGCATATTGAGCTGCTCATGGACTGCTCCCTGCGCATGCACAGGAGTAATGTCATCCCATGTCAGCCAATCAAGATGCTGGGGTTGAAGATGTTATCGCAATTTTTTTTTTTTTTTTAGCCTTTTAGTTCTTCTTTAACCCCTTCCAGTCCGGACACTTTTACCCCCTTCCTGCCCAGGCCAATTTTCAGCTTTCAGCTCTATCACACTTTGAATGACAATTGCGCGGTCATGCAAATGGACTGTACCCAAATGAATTTTTTACCATTTTTTTGAGACAGATAAAGCTTTATTTTGGTGGTATTTATTCACCGCTGGGATTTTTTATTTTTTTTGCTATATGTAAATGAAAAAGTCCAAAAATTTTGAAAAAAAAAAAATAGTGTTTTTTTTTTAGATAAAATTTTGCAAATAAATAATATTTCATCAAAAATCTTTGCCAAAAATTTATTCCATTATCTTTTTAGTAAAAAAAAAAAATCCAAATTAGTTTATAAACCAAAAATTATAATTTTTAAACATTTTTTTTTTATATTTTTTTTTATTTTTTATATTATTTTTTATTTATTTTTTTACATACTGTCACCCTAGCAGTACAGTGTCACCATGGTGACACTGTACTACTTGTGGGGGGTGATGAAGATTTTTTTTTTTTTTTACACATTGCTTTTACACCATATAGGATGTAAAAGCAAATCATTTCTCTTTCTCTCTGTGTGCATTCTTGCACTCATTGAGAAGTAAAACTGAGTGAGCTGTGATTGGTCACAGCTTGTCACATGGTACAAGCCTGTTGTGAAATAGCCCTGTACCATGTGACCTCTGTGATCATTCACAGATTTTCACACGTAGTAAGCAATGATGTCACAAGTGACATCTTGCTTACTACTTTGCATGTGATCACTGATTGGCCAATCAGTGATCACATGATCGGGACCTCGTTACAGAGGTCCCATCCGACGATCGGTGTTTCACTGTGTCCGGAGGACACAGCGGGCACCGGATCGCGGTGCTGCGCGCTCCCAGGGAGCGCACACAAGCAGGGTGCGGGGAGGAGGCCGTTTATAAACGGTCACCTGACCCTGCACTGCCACCGTCCCGTAAACCGGCCGTTTATATGCAACGGCAGGTCAGGAAGTGGTTAATTTTGCTTCTAACAACCTTTAGCGCTTTGACAGCTGAGACAATGTAATTATTGGTGCAAGGATCAATACAAACTATTTCAGGCCAAGAGGAAGGGTGTCAAACTGGCGGCCCTCCGGTTGTTGCCAAACTACAAGTCCCATGAGGCATTGCAAGGCTGACAGTGACAAGCATGACTTCCAAAGGCCAGAGGCAATGATGGGACTTGTAGTTTCTCCACAGCTGGAGGGCCGCCAGTTTGGCACCCTTGTTTTTACAGTGTACACCTTTTCTGAAAAGTGGTGAACAGCGGTCACGTGGTCAGCTGATCATTATTGGCCCCTGGCGGTCAGGGATACCAGAGATGGGCAGGAAAGGGTTAAGGACGTTTCTTCCCGTGTAATAACTTTAACAGAGGCGTGTTGTCCTTTTTTAGTTTTAAACTTTTTTTTTTAAAATTTTTTTTTTTTTTTTTTTCAAATCCAGACTTCTTGTGTGGCGTTGTGTCATAACACGTAGAAATCATCCTGTTGCTCTTACAGGGTTGTAAAGCCTCGAGTTGCCACCATGGAGGAAATGGCGACATTCCACACCGATGCCTATTTGGAGCACCTTCGCAAGGTCAGCGAAGAAGGGGATAACGATGATCCGGAGACTCTTGAATATGGCCTTGGTAAGCATTGTTGGATACACGGTGTGTATTGGAAGCAGCGTCGCATTATTTTATGTTTACTTTGTGAACCTTTGGCCAGGCTGGGGACATGTAAGTATTTACATATCCATAACAAATCCTGACTGACCTCTGTAGCTGCCGACACTGCGGAGCAATTTATCCTAATATTTACAGCACAAGCACTGAGGCTGTTTTTGTTTTTCATTTGTGCAGTAGCAGCTTTGCATTCTCTGCTCAGCTTCTGCTGCCCCTTTCATGCAGCTGTGCTTTAACAGCTCCGGAACCCATGTTTCCCCCTCCCAGCAGTGACTCTGCATCATCTCAGTTGTTCCCTACCTTCCCCGGCATTGACCGAACAGCTCACCCTGCCTCCCCCTTCCCTCGGCAGTGACCCAGCAGCTTACCCTGCCTCCTCTTTCCCCGGCAGTGACCCAGCAGCTTACCCTGCCTCCTCTTTCCCCGGCAGTGACCCAGCAGCTTACCCTGCCTCCTCTTTCCCCGGCAGTGACCCAGCAGCTTACCCTGCCTCCCCTTTCCCTGGCAGTGACCCAGCAGCTTACCCTGCCTCCCCTTTCCCTGGCAGTGACTCAGCAGCTCACCCTGCCTCCCCTTTCCCTGGCAGTGACTCAGCAGCTTACCCTGCCTCCCCTTTCCCTGGCAGTGACTCAGCAGCTTACCCTGCCTCCCCTTTCCCAGGCAGTGACCCAGCAGCTCACCCTGCCTCCCCTTTCCCAGGCAGTGACCCAGCAGCTCACCCTGCCTCCCCTTTCCCAGGCAGTGACCCAGCAGCTCACCCTGCCTCCCCTTTCCCAGGCAGTGACCCAGCAGCTCACCCCCCTCCCCTTTCCCAGGCAGTGACCCAGCAGCTCACCCTGCCTCCCCTTTCCCAGGCAGTGACCCAGCAGCTCACCCTGCCTCCCCTTTCCCAGGCAGTGACCCAGCAGCTCACCCTGCCTCCCCTTTCCCAGGCAGTGACCCAGCAGCTCACCCTGCCTCCCCTTTCCCAGGCAGTGACCCAGCAGCTCACCCTGCCTCCCCTTTCCCAGGCAGTGACCCAGCAGCTCACCCTGCCTCCCCTTTCCCAGGCATGTGACCCAGCAGCTCACCCTGCCTCCCCTTTCCCAGGCAGTGACCCAGCAGCTCACCCTGCCTCCCCTTTCCCAGGCAGTGACCCAGCAGCTCACACCTGCCTCCCCTTTCCCAGGCAGTGACCCAGCAGCTCACCCTGCTCCCCTTTCCCAGGCAGTGACCCAGCAGCTCACCCTGCCTCCCCTTTCCCTGGGCAGTGACCCAGCTGCTCACCCTGCCTCCCCTTTCCCAGGCAGTGACCAGTGCAGCTCACCCTGCCTCCCCTTTCCCAGGCAGTGACCCAGCAGCTCACCTGCCTCCCCTTTCCCAGGCAGTGACCCAGCAGCTCACCCTGCCTCCCCTTTCCCAGGCAGTGACCAGCAGCTCAGTGGGTGGATACCCTGCCTCCCCTTTCCCAGGCAGTGACCCAGCAGCTCACCCTGCCTCCCCTTTCCCAGGCAGTGACCCAGCAGCTCACCCTGCCTCCCCTTTCCCAGGCAGTGACCCAGCAGCTCACCCTGCCTCCCCTTTCCCAGGCAGTGACCCAGCAGCTCACCCTGCCAATCCCCTTTCCAGGCAGTGACCCAGCAGCTCACCCTGCCTCCCCTTTCCCAGGCAGTGACCCAGCAGCTCACCCTGCCTCCCCTTTCCCAGGCAGTGACCCAGCAGCTCACCCTGCCTCCCCTTTCCCAGGCAGTGACCCAGCAGCTCACCCTGCCTCCCCTTTCCCAGGCAGTGACCCAGCAGCTCACCCTGGGTGGATCCCCTTTCCCAGGCAGTGACCCAGCAGCTCACCCTGCCTTTTACCCTTTCCCAGGCAGTGACCCAGCAGCTCACCCTGCCTCCCCTTTCCCAGGCAGTGACCCAGCAGCTCACCAGTGGGCCTCCCTTTCCCAGGCAGTGACCCAGCAGCTCACCCTGCCTCCCCTTTCCCAGGCAGTGATCCAGCCAGCAGCTCACCCTGCCTCCCCTTTCCCAGGCAGTGACCCAGCAGCTCACCCTGCCTCCCCTTTCCCAGGCAGTGACCCAGCAGCTCACCCTGCCTCCCCTTTCCCAGGCAGGTTGACCCAGCAGCTCACCCTGCCTCCCCTTTCCCAGGCAGTGACCCAGCAGCTCACCCTGCCTCCCTTTCCCAGGCAGTGACCCAGCAGCTCACCCTGCCTCCCCTTTCCCTGGCAGTGACCCAGCAGCTCACCCTGCCTCCCCTTTCCCTGGCAGTGACCCCCAGCAGCTCACCCTGCCTCCCCTTTCCCTGGCAGTGACCCAGCAGCTCACCCTGCCTCCCCTTTCCTCGGCAGTGACCCAGCAGCTCACCCTGCCTTCCCCTTTCCCGGCCAGCTCACCCTACCCTCCCCCTTCCCCCGGGCAGCTCACCCTGCCTCTCCCTTCCCGGCAGCGCACCCTGCCTGCCCCCTTCCCGGGGAGCTCACCCTGCCTCCACAGTAACCCAGCAGCTCACCCCCCCATCATTAACTTTGCAGCTCAGTTTCAAACCAATACTGTATTGTTGTTCTTTTTTTTGCTGTTGGCACCAAGCACACTATTTCACCCCCACTCTTTCTTTGCCATTTAAGTCTGTGTGAGGAGCCACTTGTTCCCTGGGGGTTGTGGCTGTTACTCAGCTCTGCCAGAGTAGAGTGCTGCAGTGGGAGGATACTTGTGCAGGAGGGGTGTGGCTTTTACTCAGCTCTGCTAGAACAAAGTGCATGCTGCAGGGATAGGACACTTGTGCCCTGGGTGTGTGGCTGTTACTCAGCTGTGCCACAACAGTGTACTGCAGTGGGTGGATACTTGTGAAGAGGGGCGTGGCTGTTACTCAGCTTTGCCACAACAATGTACTGCAGTGGGTGGATACTTGTGATGAGGGGCGCGGCTGTTACTCAGCTTTGCTAGAACAGAGTGCTGCAGTGGGGGGACACTTGTGCCCTGGGGGTGTAGCTATTACTCAGCTTTGTCACATCAGTGGGGGAGACTTGTGCCCTGGGGGTGTGGCTGTTAGTCAGCTCTGCCAGAGCCAGAGTGCTGCAGTGAGGGAGATGCTTGTTTTGGAGGTTTGGCTCTTACTCAGCTCTGCTATAACAGAGTGCTGCAGTGAGGGGGATGCTTGTTTTGGAGGTTTGGCTCTTACTCAGCTCTGCTATAACAGAGTGCTGCAATGAGGGGGATGCTTGTTTTGGAGGTTTGGCTCTTACTCAGCTCTGCTATAACAGAGTGCTGCAATGAGGGGGATGCTTGTTTTGGAGGTGTGGCTGTTACTCAGCTCTGCTATAACCGAGTGCTGCAGTGAGGGGGATGCTTGTTTTGGAGGTGTGGCTCTTACTCAGCTCTGCTATAACAGAGTGCTGCAGTGAGGGGGATGCTTGTTTTGGAGGTGTGGCTGTTACTCAGCTCTGCTATAACGGAGTGCTGCAGTGGGATGGCAGAAAGTAACACTGGGGTGTGCTATGAAGACATAAAGCGGTGTGAGACTTCAGCCAGGCTTTGATGAAAGATGTCTGTGTATAGCTTGAGCTCTTTATTATACGATTACATTTTGACTGTGGTAACGTTTTGTTGTTTGCAGGCTACGACTGCCCCATCACTGAAGGTATCTATGATTATGCAGCTGCTGTGGGAGGAGCCACGTTAACTGCAGTTGAACAGCTAATGGAAGGCAAAGCTCGTATTGCTATTAACTGGCCAGGAGGGTGGCACCATGCTAAGAAGTAGGCATTGTGGGATCTCTGGGTAAATTCAACCGGACTATATTTGTTATTGGTAGGAGGTCGCTGGTATTGCTGTTCCCATGCGAAATTTCATTTTTCGTAACATTTCAACACCATCTCTGTGACTAAAATGAAAACTCAATGTACAGAGCTCCCCTGTAAAGGGAACCCTGGCTACCTCTCCTGCTGCTTGTGCTGCCCATACCCTACCATAGTGGCGGGAAATCACCCAGAGAAGATCGGTCAGATACCAACCCTTCTGGGCGTGTGGATCTCCTGTTCCCCTGCTATGCCTTGTGGTTCTTCTCCACAATGTAGAGGATATAATGTACAGCACATTGTATACAGATGGGAGGTATAGAATATATGATTTACATCACATTGTAATCTGCTGGGCAATGTAGAGGGTATAATGTACAGCACATTGTATACAGATGGGCAGTGTGGAGTATATGATGGACTGCACATTGTATACAGTTGGGCAGTGTGGAGTATATAATGTACAGCACATTGTATACAGTTGGGCAGTGTGGAGTATATAATGTACAGCACATTGTATACAGTTGGGCAGTGTGGAGTATGTCATGTGCAGCATATTGTATACAGCACTGGGCAGTGTGGAGGATATAATGTACAGCACATTGTATACAGATGGGCAGTGTGGAGCATGTCATGTACAGCACATTGTATATAGCTGGGGAGGTAAAGAGAGTATATAATGTACAGCACATTGTATACAGATGGGCAGTGTGGAGGAGGATATAATGTACAGCACATTGTATACAGATGGGCAGTGTGGAGTATGTAATGTACAGCACATTGTATACAGATGGCCAGTGTGGAGGATATAATGTACAGCACATTGTATACAGATGGGCAGTGTGGAGGATATAATGTACAGCACATTGTATACAGATAAGCAGTGTGGAGCATGTCATGTACAGCACATTGTATACAGGTGGGCAGTGTGGAGTATTTAATGTACAGCACATTGTATACAGATGGGCAGTGTGGAGGATATAATGTACAGCACATTGTATACAGATGGGCAGTGTGGAGGATATAATGTACAGCACATTGTATACAGGTGGGCAGTGTGGAGGATATAATGTACAGCTGAGTACTGTCATTTTGCAGCACTAACTCCCTCCTTTCTTTACTGTACCACCAATTTAGTGAAAATACGAAGCAGATTTAGACATCGCAGAAGCCAATAGACAGACAATATGGGAGTCTTTATATATTTTTTATTGTGTGTCATTAGAACATTGAAAGTTCATTTTAAATTTTTCTTCCTGTTTAGAGATGAAGCTTCTGGATTTTGTTACCTTAATGATGCAGTATTGGGGATTCTGAAACTGCGACAGAAATATGAAAGAGTCTTGTATATAGATCTGGATTTACATCATGGAGACGGTAAGTAGAACAAAATAGACACGCGGTATGTTTGTCTAAGTGGAGCATATCCTTGGTGATGAGTGACGATATAGAACAGTGGTCTCCAAACTGCGACCTTTGCTTGCTTTTGTCCGGCCCTTGGGGCACTGTTTTCTTCCACTGATACCAATAATGAGAAATCATCCCCACTGACACCAATGGACAATTGTTCCCAATGACACCAATAATTGGGCCCAGTGACACCAATTATGGGGCACTATTCCTCCCACTGACACCAAAATGGGGCACAATCAATGGGGGGGACTGACCATTTGGAAACTCGGGCACTGCCCGACGGCCCAAGGTCAGTAGGGGGCCCCATGAGATGCCCCTGGTACCTTTTTTCATAGGCTTTTTTGAGTTTGGGCAAGGACACAGGGGCCCCATGATCGCCTATTGCCCGGGGGCCCTATGAGTTGTCAGTCCGCCCCTGGGCACAATGATACCAATGTTGGGGCACAATTCATCCCAATGACACCAACAATTGGGCCCACTGACACCAATGATAGGGTGCTATTCCTCCCACTGACACCAACAATGGGGTACAATTCATCCCAATGACACCAACAAGGGGGCCCACTGACACCAAACGATGGGGCACTATTGCTCCCACTGACACAAATGATGGGACACAATGACACCAATGATGGGGCACTATTCCTCCCACTGACACCAACAATGGGGCACAATGACACCAATGTTGGGGCACACATTCATCCCAATGACACCAACGATGGGGCACAATAACAAAAATGATAGGATGCTATTTCTCCCAATGACACCAACAATTGGGCCCACTGACACCAATGATAGGGTGCTATTCCTCCCACTGACACCAACAATTGGGGCACAATTCATCCCAATGACACCAACAATTGGGCCCACTGACACCAATGATAGGGTGCTATTCCTCCCACTGACACCAACAATGGGGCAATTCATCCCAATGACACCAACAAGGGGGGCCCACTGACACCAACAATGGGGCACTATTGCTCCCACTGACACCAACAATGGGCCCAATGACACCAATGATGGGGCACTATTCCTCCCACTGACACAACATGATGGGGCACAATGACACCAATGTTGGGGCACAATTCATCCCAATGACACCAACGATGGGGCACAATAACAAAAATGATAGGATGCTATTTCCTCCCACTGACACCAACAATGGGGCACAATTCATCCCAATGACACCAACAAGGGGGCCCACTGACACCGATAGGGTGCTATTCCTCTCACTGACACAAATGATGGGGCACAATGACACCAATGTTGGGGCACAATTCATCCCAATGACACCAACAAGGGGGCCCACTGACACCAACGATGGGGCACTATTCCTCCCACTGACACAAATCATGGGACACAATGACACCAATGATGGGGCACTAGTCCTCCCACTGACACAAATGATGGGGCTCAATGACACCAATGTTGGGGCACAATTCATCCCAATGACACCAACATGATGGGGCACAATAACACCAATGATAGGCTGCTATTCCTCCCACTGACACCAACGATGGGGCACACTTCATTCCAATGACACCAACAATGGGGCACAATGACACCAAGGTTGGGACACAATTCATCCCAATGACACCAACAGTGGGGCCCAATGACACCAATAATGGAGCGCTATTCCTCCCACTGACACGAGCAAGGCATTGTTTATTCCCACTGACGTCTGGACCTTTTCTATTCCCAATGGCCACCGTCTAGCCTCCCCTAAGTCTGAAGGTCAATAAACTGGCCCTTTGTTTAAAGAGTTGGGAGACCCCTGACATAGATCAACAAAGATCAATGGTCCATCTTCATGCTCCGTAAATCTGGGTCATCTTTCTTGAAGATAAATCTGTAACACTTTATACAAGGGTAGGGATCTTTATTTTCAGCCAACTGACTATATTTTTCAAATCTGGTTGAACTCGTATTGCTGGCAGGCGGGTTTTTTATGACAGAAGCGACCATATCAGTCCAACAGGAGGGCGCAGTATCAGGGCATCCATACTGGAAGGATTGCAGATGCTGCACGGTGTCCTTCTTTTTTTATTATTATTATACAGTATATAGCGCCAGCGGTTTGCTCAGCGCTGTACATTATAATGGGAGACAATACACGAGACAGTACAGTAACAATACGATTCAATACACGAAGGGATCGAGGGCCCTGCTCCTTGGAGCTTACAATCTAGGAGGGAGGGGATAGTGGTACAGGAGGAAATGGCTGTGGGGGATGGAGTGGTGGGAAGAGCGGAGGTGATCGGCAATTAGGTGAGCGTAGGGTAGGCTTCCCCTCAAGAGATGGATTTTCAGGGTGCGCCAAAAGGTGAGGAGGGTAGGTGACAGTCTGATGGATTGGGGGGTAGTGAGTTCCAGAGGATGGGGGAAGCCCTGGAGAAATCCTGGAGACGGGCATGGGAGGAGGAGACCAGGGAACTAGAGAGAAGGAGGTCTTGTGAGGAGCGGAGAGAGTGTGTTTTGGGTGGTAGATGGATATTAGGTCGGTGATGTAGTTTGGGGAAGTGTTATGGGACAGCTTTGTACGTCAATGTTAGTAATCTGAATTTTATCCGTTGGGCAATCGGAAGCCAGTGGAGGATTGGCAGAGGGGGGTGGAGGACATTGAATGGAGGTCAGTGGAGGGATTGGCAGAGGGGGGTGGAGGACACTCAGTGGAGGCCAATGGAGGGGTTGGCAGAGAGGGGTGGAGAACACTGAGTGGAGGTCAATGGAGGGATTGGGCAGAGAGGGGTGGAGGACACTGAGTGGAGGTCAATGGAGGGATTGGCAGAGAGGGATGGAGGACACTGAGTGGAGGATTGGCAGAGGGGGGTGGAGGACACTGAGTGGAGGCCAGTGGAGGGATTGGCAGACGAGAGGGTGGTGGACACTCAGTGGAGGCCAGTGGAGGGATTGGCAGAGAGGGGTGGAGGACACTGAGTGGAGGCCAATGGAGGGATTGGCAGAGAGGGGTGGAGGACACTGAGTGGAGGCCAGTGGAGGGATTGGCAGAGAGGGGGTGGAGGACACTGAGTGGAGGCCAATGGAGGGATTGGCAGAGAGGGGTGGAGGCCAATGGAGGGATGAGAGGGGGGTGGCAGATACGGAGCGGTTAGTAAGGTGGATGAGTCCTGGCCACAGAATTCGGGATAGACTGGCGGGGAGGCTGGGGATAGCCTGCGATGAGGCAGGCTGGTGAGGAGGGAGTTGCAGTTGTCAAGTCGTGATATGATGAGGGAGGGGATGAGCTGTTTAGTGGTTTCTGGGGTTAGGAACGTGCGGATTTTGGAGATGTTGCGGAGGCGGAGTCTGCATGAATTTGTCAGTGATTGGACCCTGGGCTGGAAAGACAGATTGGAGTCTAGGATGACACCTAGGACTTTGGCTTGCGGGGTGGACTGATGGTGGCGTTGTTGGTCGTGATGGAGAGTTGGGGCGGGGGGGGCGTGGGCTGGGGGGAAAACTAGGAGCTCGGTTTTGGAAAGAATTTAATTTGAGGAAGTAGAGAGTGACATCCAAGCTGATATGTCGCTCAGTAGGCTTGTGATTCGGGCGGAGACTGAAGGGGTGAGGCGAGGGGTAGAGAGATTTGCGTGTCGTCGGCATAGAGGTGGTAGTTGAAGCCGTGAGAGTGTAGGGAAAGAGGTATAGATGGAGAAGAGAAGGGGCCCGAGACGGAGCCTTGAGGGACCCCAACAGAGGGGAATACTCTATGGAATCTGAACCTGCTCAGTGACCCGGTGCTGTAGGACATAGTGGTAGTTGGAGAAGGTGCCATTCAGTATAACGCAGGAGCCATGTTTAGGGTGGAAGCACTAATAGGGGTTTTGTTTTTTTTTTTAATTTTTCAGGAGTTTGAAGATGCGTTCAGTTTCACCTCTAAAGTCATGACCGTGTCCCTGCACAAATTTTCACCGGGATTCTTCCCTGGTAAGGGTACTTTGCATGTCCTCATAAATCTGTTATTACTTTTATGGTGTGTTTAACTGCTTCTCATGTGTGTGTGTATGTATGTATGCGCATATATATATATATATATATATATATATATATATATATATATATATATATATATATATATAATTATATATATATATATATATAATATATAATATATATATATATTATATATATATTAATTATATATAATTACTGTATCTCCCAGAAGTGAGTCCACCCCTCACATTTTTGTCAATATTGTATTCTCTCTTTTCATGTGACAACACTGAAGAAACGACACTTTGCTACAATGTGACATAGTCAGTGTACAGCTTGTATAACATGGAAATTTTCTGTCCTTTAAAATAACTCAACACACCACCATTAATGTCTAAACTGCTGGCAACAAAAGTGAGTCCACCCCCTAAGTGACACAAGGTCCAAATTGTGCCCAATGAGCCATTTTCCCTCCCCGGTGTCATGTGACTCGTTAGTGTTACAAGGTCTCAGGTGTGAATGGGGAGCGGGGGGGGTTACATTCGGTGTTAATCGCTCTCACTCTCTCATACTGGTCACTGGAAGTTCAACATGGCACCTCATGGCAAAGAACTCTCTGAGGATCTGAAAAAAAAGAATTGTTGCTCCACATAAAGATGGCCTAGGCTATAAGAAGATTGCCGAGACCCTGAAACTGAGACACAGCACGGTGGCCAAGACCATCACAGCGGTGTAACAGGACAGGTTCCCCTCAGAACAGGCCTCGCCATGGTCCACCAAAGAGGTTGAGTGCACGTGCTCAGCGTCATATCCAGAGGTTGTCTTTGGGAAATAGACGTTGGTGGGGTGAGTTGCTGCCAGCATTGCTGCAGAGGTTGTAGGGGTGGGGGGGGGGGGTCAGCCTGGCAGTGCTCAGACCATACGCCGCACACTGCATCACATTGGTCTGCATGGCTGTCGTCCCAGAAGGAAGCCTCTTCTAAAGATGATGACCAAGAAAGCCCGCAAACAGTTTGCTGAAGACAAGCAGACTAAGGACATGGATTACTGGAACCACGTTCTGTGGTCTGATGACACCAAGATCACCTGATTGGGTTCAGATGGTGTCAGGCGTGTGTGTGCGGCAACCAGGTGAGGAGTACAAAGACAAGTGTGTCTTCCCTACAGTCAAGCATGGTGGTGGGAGTGTCATGGTCTGGGGCTGCATGAGTGCTGCCGGCACTGGGGGGCTACAGTTCATTGAGGGAACCATGAATGCCAACATGTACTGTGACCTAAGGAAGCAGAGCATGATCCCCTCCCTTCGGAGACTGGGCCACAGGGCAGTATTCCAACATAATGACCCCAAACACACCTCCAAGACCACCACTTGCCTTGCTAAAGAAGCTGAGGGTAAAGGTGATGGACTGGCCAAGCATGTCTCCAGACCTGAACCCTATTGAGCATCTGTGGGGCGTCCTCAAACGGAAGGTGGAGGAGCGCAAGGTCTCTAACCTCCACCAGCTACATGATGACGTCATGGAGGAGTGGAAGATGGAAGGTGGAGGAGCGCAAGGTCTCTAACATCCACCAGCTACATGATGATGTCATGGAGGAGTGGAAGAGGACTCCAGTGGCAACCTGTGACGCTCTGGTGACCTACATGCCCAAGAGGGTTAAGCCAATGCTGGAAAATTATGGCGGCCACACAAAATATTGACACTTTGAGCCCAATCTGGACCTTGTCACTTAGGGGTGGACTCACTTTTGTTGCCAGCGGTTTAGACATTAATGGCGGTGTGTTGAGTTTTATTTTGAGGGGACAGCAAATTTCCATGTTATACAAGCTGTACACTGACTACGTCACATTGTAGCAAAGTGTCATTTCTTCAGTGTTGTCACATGGAAAGAGAGAATCAAATATTGACACAAATGTGAGGGGTGGACTCACTTCCGTGAGATACAGTGTGTAAAGTGTACAAATAATATACGGAGCGGTTATAGCTCATTCACGGTCATTCTTTTGTCAAAGTAAAAGTGATCTGAGCGTTTATACAACCACTAGATCACTTTTACAGGTGGTGGAAGGGGGTGTGTGTCCCCTCCCCTTCCTCACCACCTCACTAAGGAGCCAAGTACCACTGCGACCAGTTGCATCGGATTCCCAAAACAGAGTGAACGGAACGTCCATTGTTCCTCCCACTCTGTGACATCAGAAAACCGGAAGCAACGAGGACTTTGTCACTTCCTGTCTGTTTGATTTTTTTTTTTTACAAGTCGGTAGCGGCGGCTTAAAGTGTTACTAAACCCACAATATTAAAATCTGTCTGTATATGCAGCAAGGCATGCTGGTTATTCTCGCTGGGCGACCTAAGGGGTTAATTTTTTCATTTATTTCAGGTACTTGTATAGCGCCATCAATTTACGCAGCACTTTACATATATATTGTACATTCACATCAGTCCCCGCCTCCGAGGAGCGTACAATCTAAGGTCCCTAACTCACATTCATACATACACATACTAGGGACAATTTAGACCGGAGCCAATTAACCTACCAGCATGTCTTTGGAGTGTGGGAGGAAAAGTAGTGGAGTACCCAGAGGAAACCCACACAGGCACAGGGAGAACATGCAAACTCCAGGCAGGTGGTGCCATGGTTGGGATTTCTAATCGATGACCCCCAGTACTGCCAGGCGGAAGTGCTAACCATTTAGCCACTGTGCTGCCCATATTAATCCTCCACGTTGTATAAAGAGGCTGTTTGATCCTGTCTTCTCTGTTCCTCCCCTTTCTTCCACAGTCCCCAATCCATCTGCTGATAATACAGAGCCCTAGGAGTCACTCTGTGCATGCTCAGTTTGCTATGTGGTTTTTTTTTTTCTCTTGGGAGAGTGCAGGTGATCACACAGGGCCAATCGGCACTGTCCAGACAGATCTCGGGTCCTCCTGCATCCTCCTAGAGCAGAATGAAAACTCCCACAAGCTTTAACCAGTGCTCTACTGGACACTGATAGAAGTCACAAGACTGCTATATACGTGCTGATGAGAAAAGGTATCCAGGGAGAGCAGATTAGCAGTTTTATATTTACTAAAATAATTGCATTTCCATGTTGTGTGTACTGTGGGAGACCAGATATAGAGAATGCGGGGTCCGGGGAGACCAGATATAGTGAATGCGGGGTCCGGGGAGACCAGATATAGTGAATGCGTGGTCCGGGGAGACCAGATATAGAGAATGCAGGGTCCCCAGGGAGAGCAGATATAGAGAATGCAGGGTCCAGGGAGGAGCAGATATAGAGAATGCAGGGTCCGGGAGAGCGTGGGTCAGATATAGTGAATGCAGGGTCCGGGGAGAGCAGATATAGTGAATGCAGGGTCCGGGGAGAGTGAATAAAGTGAATGCGGGGTCCGGGGAGAGCGGATATAGTGAATGCAGGGTCCGGGAGAGACCAGATATAGAGAATGCAGGGTCCTGGTATATATTGAGACCAGATATAGAGAAGAGGTCCAGGGTCCGGGAGACCAGATATAGTGAATGCAGGGTCCAGGGAGACCAGATATAGTGAATGCAGGGTCCGGGAGACCAGATATAGTGAATGCAGGGTCCGGGGAGAGCAGATATAGTGAATGCAGGGTCCGGGAGAGTGAATATAGTGAATGCGGGGTCCGGGGAGACCCCGATTATAGTGAATGCGGGGTCCCGGGGAGACCCGATTATAGTGAATGCGGGTCCGGGGAGACCCGATTATAGTGAATGCGGGGTCCGGGGAGACCCGAATTATAGTGAATGCGGGGTCCGGGGAGACCCGATTATAGTGAATGCGGGGTCCGGGGGAGAGCGGATATAGTGAATGTGGGGTCCGGGGAGAGCGGATATAGGTGGTAATGCGGGGTTCGGGGGGGGAGAGCGGATATAGTGAAAGCGGGGGGGGGGATGAATGCGGGGTCCGGGAGACCAGAATATAGTGAATGCGTGGTCCCGGGGAGACCAGATATAGAGAATGCAGGGTCCAGGGGGCTCTCCCTCCAGAGCAGAGATATAGTGAATTGCGGGGTCCGGGGAGACCAGATATAGTGAATGCGTGGTCCGGGAGACCAGATATAGTGAATGCAGGTCCGGGAGACCAGATATAGTGAATCCCCGGGGTCCGGGGAGAATCCAGATATATCAACCAAGGAGAATGCGTGGTCCGGGGAGACCAGATATAGAGAATGCAGGGTCCAGGGAGAGCAGATATAGAGAATGCAGGGTCCAGGGAGAGCAGATATAGGAGAATGCAGGGTCCGGAAGACCAGATATAGTGAATGCAGGGTCCGGGAGAGAGCAGATATAGTGAATGCAGGGTCCGGGAGAGTGAATATAGTGAAATGCGGGGTCCGGGGAGAGCGGATATAGTGAATGCCGGGGTCCGGGAGACCCGATTATAGGTGAATGTGGGGTCCGGGGAGACCAATATAGTGAATGCGGGGTCCCAGAGACTCGAATAAAGTGAATGCGGGGTCCGGGGAGACCCGATTATAGTGAATGCGGGGACCGGGGAGACCCGATTATAGTGAATGCGGGGTCCGGGGAGACCCGATTATAGTGAATGCGGGGTCCGGGGAGAAAAAATGATTTATAGTGAATGCGGGGATCCGGGGAGAACCCGATTATAGTGAATGCGGGGTCCCCGGGAGACCCGATTTCATAGTGAATGCGGGGCCGAAAAAACCGGGGAGACCCGATTATAGTGAATGCGGGGGCCGGGAGACCCGATTATAATGAATGCGGGGTCCGGGGAGAGCGGATATAGTGAATGTGGGTCCCGGGGAGACGCGGATATAGTGAAATGTGGGTCCGGAAAAAAAAAAGAGACCAGATATAGTGAATGCGGGGTCCGGGGAAGCGATATAGTGAATGTGGGGTCCGGGGGAGGAGCGGATATAGTGAATGCGGGGTCCGGGGAGAGCTGATATAGTGAATTGCGGGGTCCGGGAAAGAGCGGATATATAGTGAATGTGGGGTCCCAAAGA